AGAAACATAACATCTTCTAGACTCTTCTCGACTTTTAAATTGAAGATCATGCTTACCGTTTCATTCTATTCTGTGTTTTTGGTGCTCTCCTGTCTGATGACCGACGTCAACTGTTCTTCAGGTTAGATTTCCGCTTTTGCATGAATTTATGTTTAAAAACAGGGGTTACTATTTTAACATTGCATTTCTGAATGAAATGAATCAATAGTCGACGAGGCGACTGGTGAGTTGGTCTACTTGTATTTCAGTTGTAGCATTTTTCTAGATTTCTGCTCTAAATGTTTCGCTGTCCCTGTCAGTGAGAGATGAAAAGCTTGTCTTACAAAAAACTGTACACTTTCGCGTCGTCATTGTCCGTACCGTTTAACTCTGCTACGTTACCATAGCTTGCCCCGGTTGTCCAGCTAATCTTTAACACTGCGTCGCCCTTAAAAACTCAAAAATGCACGCTACTGGGACGTTAAAGTTAAAAACAGGCCTGCAAAATAATAATGCCTGGTTATTTGATGTTGGAGTGACCGCAAAACCTTTCTACCAGGAATAGAAGTAGGGAAAAGTAAAATGAAAAAAGAAAAATGTCTACTTAAATGAACTCGACTCGACCACGATACAATCCNAGTGACCGCAAAACCTTTCTACCAGGAATAGAAGTAGGGAAAAGTAAAATGAAAAAAGAAAAATGTCTACTTAAATGAACTCGACTCGACCACGATACAATCCCAACCCGTGTGTTTCAACGGAAATGATATACATTTAACATTTCCTAAAGTTGAAATGGGAATGTTGATCAGTGTCACATATTTTGATAACAAAAAAAGCGTCAACTATACATATGATGAAAAACCAGCGTCGAATACCCAGTTTTCATTTCAATACTGAATTACTTTCCTGGTGCCGATGGCAGGTGGCCCGTACGAGGGTCTCAATAGGGTTAACTGTTAACTGCCAACCGTCAAATGACCAAAAAATAACTGTCAACCGTCAAAAGCGCAATATTTTTATAGTCAACCGTCAAATAAGTAAGCCAGTATTAGCGTCAATGCAAATGTCTCAAATATCCCTAATTAAGAACTTAACGACTGACATAAATGGGATAAGTTTCATTATTCTCTTTATGAAGAATTGTTTTTT